CTGTACCACTTTTCACCGATCGATTGATGGACATTTGGATTGTTCCCAGTGTGGTTATTTTGAGAAATGCTGGTACGAACGATGATGCTTAAGTCTTTGTGTGGGCAGATTCTAGGAGCGTGTGAAGTTTAGGTTTTAACTGTATCAGAAAATGGCAGTCTTTTCCAAAGTGTTTATATGACGTTATGTTCCCACGAGCAATATGTGTTTCAGTTTCTCTACATCTTTGCTGATACTTGGCATTATCAGTCTTTGTGATGATTGCCATTTTAGTGGTTGTGTAGTGCTATCTCATTATGGTTTTGGTTTGCATTTCCCTATGACTAGTGATGCTGCGCATCTTTTCATGTGCTTACTAGCTATTTGTATCTATACATTAGTGACATGTCTATTCAGATCATTTGCCCATTTTTATTTATTTAAAATTATATTTATTTAAAATTTTATTTATTTATTTTTAGGGAGGGGGAAAGGAGGGAGAAAGAGAGGGAGAGAAATATCAAGGTGTGGTTGCTCTTGCGCACCTCCTACTGGCAACCTGGCTGCAACCCAGGCATGTACCCTGACCGGAAATCGAACCAGTGACCCTTCGCTTCACAGTGCAGCACTCAGTCCACTGAGCCACGCCAACCAGGGCCATTTGCCCATTTTTAAATTGGGTTGCTTTCTGATTAAGTTGTAGGAGTTCTTTCTGTATTGTGAATGCAAGTCCTTTTTTAGATATATGATTTGCAAATACTATTTTCTCCTACTCTGTGGCTTGTCTTTCCATTTTCCTTATGATGTATTTTAAAGAGATAATTTTTAGCTTTGATAAAGTCCAGTTTATTACTTTTTAAGTAGATTATGCTTTTGGTTAGACATTTTTAACTGAGGTTCACAAAAAATGTACTCCTATGTTTCTTCTAGCAGTTTTATTTATTTAAAAAATATTTTATTTATTTAAATTGAGAGAGAGGGGAAGGGAGAGAGGAAGATAAAAAGAGAAAAGCATCGATTGGTTGCCTCTTGTATGCACCCTGACTGGAACCGAACCTGTAACACAGACATGTGCCCTGACTAGAAATTAAACCAATGACCTTTTGCTTTGTGGGACAATGGCCAACAAACTGAGCCACGCTGGTCAGGGCCATTTTATGGTTTTAGATTTTACATTTATGTCTGTGATACATTATGAGTTGATTTTTGTGTATACAGTATGATACAGGCCTCATCTTTTTTTCTCTATATGGGTATCCAACTGTTATGGTGTCGTTTGTTGAAAAGATTATCATTTGCCTATTGAATCACCTTAACACCATCATTGAAAATCAGTTGGAGATGTGTAGGTCTATTTCTGAACTCTGTTCTGTTCCAGTGATCCGTCTGTTTTTAAAAATTATTTTTGCTAAGATAGGTCCTTTAAATTACCATAAATTTTAGGATAACCTGCCCTAGCTGGTGTGGCTCAGTGGATTGAGCGTGGGCTGGGAACCAAAGGGTCACTGGTTCAGTTCCCAGTCGGGGCATGTGCCTGGGTTGCAGGCCAGGTCCCTGGTTGGGGGCTGTGTGAGAGGCAACCACAAATTGATGTTTCTCTCCCACTCTTTCTCCTTCCCTTCCCCTCTCTCCAAAAATAAATAAAAACTACAGTTAATAAAAAAATTTTAGAATAACCTTTTTTATTTTCTACAAAAAAGCTTGCAAGAATTTCCGTTGGTATTGTGTTGAATCTAAGGTCATTTTGGGAGAATACCTATCTAAACAATATATTGAGACTTCTAACCTGCAAACGTGGAACATCTTCATTGCTTAGTTGTTATCTAATGGCTTTTAGCAATGTTTTGTACCTTTCAGAATGTAGGCTTAACACTTGTTGTTTATTTCTAAGCATTTTAATGCTATTATGAGTGGAATTGGTGTTTCCTTTTTACCATTTTTAAAATTTATTTAATTGTTGTTCAAGTAGTTTTCTGTCTTTTACTCCCATCCCAGCCCACCCCCCCAGTGCTCCCTCCCTCCCATTTCTACCCCCCTTAGTTTTTGTCCATGTGTCCTTTATACTAGTTCCTGTAAATCCTTCCTCTTTTCCCCTGAAATTCCCTCCCTTCTCCCCTCTGGTCACTCTCCGCCTGTTCTCTATTTCAGGAATTGTTGATTTTATTTTCAGATTGTCTATTGCTAGTATATAGAAACACAACTGATTGTTTTTACTGTGGCAAATATATAAATATATATCAAAGTGATAAAGTAAATATATCACTTTAACCATTTTAAAGTATGCAATTCATTGGCGTTCAGTACAGTCATAGTGTTATGTAATGATCGCCACTATCTATACCCAAAACTTTTTCATCATCCCCAACAAAAACTCTGTACCCGTTAAACAATAACTTCCCTTTTCTTCTTTCTTACCCACACAGCCCACACAGCACACACAGCACACACAGCACACACAGCACACACAGCACACACAGCCCCTAGGAACTTCTATTCTACTTTCTGTCTCTATGCAATTGCCTGTAGGTACCTTATATAAACGGAATCATGTACATCCTTTTGTATTTGACGTATTCCACTTAGTATGTTTTTAAGATTCATGCTGTAGCACATATCAGAATTTCATTTGTTTTTGACTGATTACTATTTTATTGTATCTTACCACATTTTGTTTATCCCTTCCTGTGTTCAAGGACACTTGGGTTGTTTCTACCTTTTGGCTGTTATGAATAATGCTGCTATGAATATGGGTATATAAATGTCTGTTGAGTCTTTTTCAAGGTTTTTATTTATAACTCTGGTAGTTTGGAGAGTCTTTAGACTTTTTGCATACAGGATCATGTCATCTACAAAAGATGGTGTTACTTCTTGTTTTCTAGTGTGCATGTCTTTAATTTTGTTTTCTTGCCATATTACACTGTCCAGAACCTCAAAATTGGTGAGAGTTGACATCCTCACCTTATTCCTGATCTTAAAGGAGAAGTATTCAGTCTTTTATTAGTAAGTATGATGTTAGCTGACAGTCAGTAAAGCAAGTTTCTCATAATATATTCTATATAGTATCTTAATTTTGAAAGATTAAGGGACTGGATAAGTTGACATTTCTTAGTGGATATCACCTGCTTAACATACATTTCTTAGCTATAAAATTAACAATCCTTTTGTCTCTTGTAGACTCAGGTAACCTGATACCCTTTAAGTTTTTATTTCGAATCAGTTTTTTTAAATAAGACTCTAAATTGACAGTTCATAGGCTACCTGTTCCTATTTAATTCTAGGGTATCTATATTGTGACCCCCAAAATGAAGCATTTATATCCCCTGATGCTGTTTTAAAGTTCATTAGGGTTTTCATTTCTCTGGGGAGAGATTCTGTGATATTTTCTCTTTCAATGAAATATGTGTTTGTGTGTAAAGTAAACTGCCTCTGTGGCTTGTAGATGTAGTTTATTTTATAGTCCTGTTGTTTCTGTACCCATAAGATCTGCAGGCAGCACTCTTCTTGTGGATGGGGACACAGGTTGATGTACCTTGATCGGTAAGTGTGTGTGTGATATTTCAAATTAGTGCCTTATCCCTTAGACTACAGTCTAACTACAAGGCCTGAGACTTTTTTATTCACTCTATTGTTAGCATCTGGCAAATTGTAAAGGATTGGAATGAAAGAATGATAAAATCAGTCTATCTTGTGACACTTGTGTAAAGAGGAGTGATTAGTGTAAATTGGCTTGGCTTTAGGGTGAATTTTCATTTTCTAAATCCTCAAAGCATTTGGGTCTGAATTGTCTATTTAGCTTAAATAGAAAAAATTTCCGGTTTTCTGTTAGATATTAAGCTAAATGTTACATTATTATTCTCTTACATATATACATTAAAAAAAATTGAAAGCCTCTTTACCTTTACAGTTTGGTAAATCAAAGTAAATTTGTTCTGTGGTTCTGCCAATTAGTCAAACTACTCATGTCATTTCTGAGAGGTTTTAGGCATAGACACATATGAGTGATTTGGGTAATTTTGTAGGAACCTGCTTCAATAATTAAATATAAAGCTTTGAGATAACCAGTTTTCAGAAAGGGTTGGTTATAATTATCATATAGAAAGTTGATATCTTTTTAGTAAATGGCATTGTTTACTAACTTTTTTTTTTTTTAAGAAGAGTCAGCATTTGTTAGTTCTGATTGTCTACTAAATACCTTCTGATTTTAGCAGCTCACTTGAGTGGCATTGAATAAAGAATTCATATTTGGCATTCGAGACCTTGGCTCATTTTCTCTCTACTTCATTGAGAGAAAACCACCTTTCTACAACAGAGAACTGTTAGAACTCGTTCATCAGGAGTTCAGCTGAAATTTTTGGCTCTCAGCCTTATTCTCTGTTCTTGTGCTTCGGTGATGCTTCAGTGACCTTATTAGCCCTCAATTTGTTTATCATACTTTTTGATAACGTAGGGGATACTGCTGTTCTCCTAGGATTGTTGGCTGGGGTCCTTTAAATTGGATTGACAAAAGACATTGACAAGAGAAAAGCATACCAATTTACTTAATATAACTTTCATGTAACATGGGAGCCTTGATAAGTAAATGTAGACTAAAGAAATGGTTAAACCTGAGTGTCTTTTATACTAGGTTTGATGGAAAGTCAAAGGCAGTGGAAAGTCATGGGAATATGTTATAGGATGAAAGAGTATGAGCTAAGGGTAGTAAACTGAGGAAGACTTAGCAAGCCTGTTCATTAGGATTCTTGTTGTTTTCCCTTTTATCTTTAGAAATAAGAACGATCCCTTTTCCACGTATAGGGAGAACACCTCTCACATGAAGATCTTATGACTTGCTTTGGGGGAAAGGGGAGGTCAGAGAGTTCTCTTGCCATTTTTCAAATTCCTTTGCTTAAAATAATCAATATGCCATGCACCATATTTTGGGATTATAGTATGTGTTCTGAATCATGTTACTCCCCCATCTGAAACTTTCTCTATAAAGTTTTGCTGTCCAGAAAGTGAGTTGATAGATTGTTCCATAACCCATTCAACTAGTCTCTGAGTCCTGGAATAGGTCAGTGCAATTAAACAGCTGTGTTTTAGGAGGCAGTGGTATAGGTGAGAGTAGGGCACATACCTGTGTTAAGTCTCTATATGGTGGGAGCAATAAGGCATTTAATGAAGGGCTTTTCTGTAAAAAACAAATTTTTTGAGTCTAGAGGGGCATTCAGTTAAGATTTCTAGATGTTGGGCTCAAAGCATCTTTGGATGGTGGAGTGAGGATAGGCAGTGGCAATCTAACGAATTTTCTGGTTCTAGTTTGAATGACTCTGGTGATGGCATTGGCTATTACAGTCAGCTTTCTGAGTGGCCCTCGCAGCAGCAGGCACAAAGTGGTCCACAGATGATTTGTTGTGGTGATTTATTTGAAGTTTATGTCAAATTTTCTACTTTTAGCTTTAGGAAAAGGGCAGTTTTAATTACTAGTGATACTAAGTCAGCAGGGTTGGGGAAAATTGCAAATGTTAGTTTGGAGAGTTGTCGCTAAATATTTGAGGAAACTAGAATTGAGAACCCACAGCAGTATACTATAGTTTTCCACTGAAACATAAAAATTTCTCTCTACATTCACCCCCCCTTGTTGATCAGAGAGAACCAGACTACCAGACTAGGTTATTCTTTACAAAAATTATTCTGGTTTTATTAGATTTGACTTGATTATATAAATGTACCAAGAATGGTAATTGAACACATGGGTCTTTTAAAGTTTGCTTTATTGGAATTTTTCATAAGCAATGTTAGATTAGACTTTTTAAAAACCCCTTAAAGGTAGGAAGCCAAATTAGAAACACAGTATCAGACTTTGCCTGCAGTACCTATAGATTTGACTGACTTCTCTTTTTGAGGTCTCCAAGATATCTTCTAAGATTCCTATTGGACTAACCTATTCCCAGTTCCCAATTGGACTGACCTATTCCCAGGACTCAGAGACTAGTTCCGTGGGTTATAGAACAATCTATCAACTCAGTTCCTGGACTGTGAAACTTCCAGGGAGAGTTTCAGATGGAATAATGTGGTTCAGAATATATACTGTAATCCCAAGATTCCCTGGTAGTAGGTGACCTTTCTTATTCATCTGGTAGTAAGGCCAGGAACTGTGTAATCCAGGTACCAGGATGGTTTTTCCCAGAGGGCTTTGTAAGCATTGGCTTTATAAAATCAACTTTCATTATTTAAAGTTGTGTAGTCATATCTGATTTTAACATACATATGACACTACAGTCAAAGCCTTGGTAATGTAGTGTTTCCAATTATGTTCTTTTATAAGGAGAATAGATTCTTACTGAACTTAGTAAAATAATTGTATTGCCATAAAAATAACTGTTAAGAATTTCCAAGTTTTGGAGGTGTCAGGCAGGGAAAAAAGATAAATGGTTTTTTTGTTTTGTTTTGTTTACCAGTGTATAATCTGTTGAATTGCTCTAAGATATAGATAGCTTAGAAGAAAAGGGAAAGGAGTTCCTTATAGCCAGAAAACAGAATATTAAAGAACCAACAAAGTTTCAAAGAAGAAGACCATAAAACATCATAATCCTTCATCAGTTCATTTCATCTCATGGAATTAATTCTTGTTCTGCTTGATCTTGGGTGGGCAGTTTCAAACATTATCTGAGAAGAATAAGAGTAAAACAAAAACTGTGTGATGACAAAAGACCTAAAATGATTGAGGTTAAAGATCTGTCGAAATTGGTTATTGCTAATGGTATACAAGATTTTAACATAATAATTGGACAGTGAAGATACTGACAAATTTCTATCAACTTCTACAGTTTCTGGAATATCTACATTAATATTCACCCGTACAAATATATATAACCCTTTTTATTTGACAGTATTTTCCATGCAATTTAATATGTCAGATAAACTGAGTTATTATTGCCCTGACCTGGTAGCTCAGTTGATTGGAGCATCGTCCCATACATCAAAAGGTTGCAGGTTCAATTTCTGGTCAGGCCACATACCTAGGTTGCAGGTTTGATCCCTAGTTGGGGTGTGTTTGAGAGGCAACCAATCAGTATTTCTCTCTCACATCGATGTTTCCTTCTCTCTCTCCCTCTTCCCCTTTCTCTCTCTCTAATATCAATGAAAATATGCTCAGGTGAGGATTAAAGATGAATGAATGAATGAATGAATGAATGAATGAATGAAAGAATGAAAATTAAAAAAAAAAACCCACAGTGCTGATTACAGCCAGAAAGAAGCAGAGTGAGATACATAACACAATAGCATTTATATACATTTCAAAGTGTATTTAAGTAGCTTTGGCTGGGTGGTTCAGGCAGTTAGAGCATTGTCTTATACACCAAAAAGCTTGCAGGTTTGCTTCCTAGGCAGAGTACATACCTAGATTGTGGGTTCAGTTTCTGGTTGGGTGTGGTCAGGAGGCAACCAATCGATGTTTCTCTCCCTCTCCCTCCCTCCCTTCTGCTCTCTAAAATCGATAAAGCATGTCCCTGGGTAAGGATAAAAAACAAAAAAATGTACTTAAGTAAAACACATTACACAGTTTGCAAGAAAATATGTAAACGCATTAAACATACTGCAACGATTGCTTAAATTGAGGGATGGTGGGAATGGGACTTCATTTCTCCACTGAGGTGATCTTTGAAGCAGGACTACACCTACACACCAACACCTCCCATTGCTGCTACCCTTGGGAGTAAAAATTCTGATTACAAATTATCATTGGAACATATTTTTTTCTTAATCTAACTATACTTAAAGTGAATGCTTGGTGTTCGTGGTTCTGAAAGCTTGCTTTTTCTTTCTGCCTTTCTTAACTCTTCACTTTTTGTGTTACAGAATGTTCTGTTTGGTTGTTGCTTTTATATAGAATATGCTAGCCTCATTGTTTATGTCTGGTGTAGGTACTACTTGTATAGCCAGCCCTGTATGTTGTCATTCTTAGAAGGTAATACTTAGTGATGAGTCATGAGACTTTTCAATGTCCCTTGATTTTAAGTGTCCTTTTAGATAATGTTCTTTTTTGATTAGAGCAAAGGGGAAAATACCTGGTATGAAGTAATCATTGCTTTAATCTGTTGCCCATTATAAAATATATGTTACCTCGCTTCTACAAGAATCTTTGTTTTAGGGCAGATAAAAATAATGAACTCCTAGAGAGTTCTCTGAGGTAGCAGTAAGATTTGGGGTAGAATATAGGAAACAAATAGCCTCTACCTCTATTCAGTTTTTGTTGCTAGAACTATTCTCCTTCTGTAGATCCTGAACTTTCAAGTAGCCTCAGTTTTGAGTTATCTTTAATTGAGGTTTTTGGTTGTTAACTATACCACCCAGGTGGTGCTCCCAAGTAGCAACTGGAGAAAGGAGCTGTAATGGAATTCAAGTAGCCTTGGCAACCATTATAATGTAAATGAGTCTCAGTGGGTAGGAAGTTGAAAGCGTGGGCACTTGTTAAGGCAGTCTTTTACAACTGGACCTGACTGGCATTTCACTGTTTCAGTACTGATGTCGCTGCTCCTCGGACACCATGCGGTCCTGAGTTACTCCAGCCTTCTTTTAATTTTCTGAGAACATAACACCACATTTTAATAAAATGAATCTCAGATGTGCTTATCATCTTCATACATGTGAAGATGTCTTTTACCTTTACTAACATTATCTTTTTGTCACTGCCTTTTGCACTAACATAGCTGCAGCCCTGCACCAAATCCCTGATGTGCAAAGAAAATTACTTGGGTTTCCAGAGAAACACTGGCGTGGGCCTAGTTTACCGTGTTAGCTAAGATTTGGCTTATGATAGAACTGACAGTGTCTAGGCTACTTTTTAAAAAAGATTTTATATATCTATTTATAGAGAGAGGGGAAGGGAGGGAGAAAGAGAGGGAAGGGAACATCAGTGTGTGTTTTACCTCTTGTGCGCTCCCAACAGGGGACCTGGCCCCCAACACAGGCGTGTGCCCTGACCGGGAATGTACTGGCGACCCTTCGGTTCGCAGGCCGGCACTCAGTCCACAGAGCCACGCCAGTCAAGGCAAGGCTACTTTTTAAGCAGCCCGAAAGAGACAAATCCTTGGGTTTCAAATCTTAATTTTTTTGTTTTAATCTTTAAGTTTCAAACAATAACATTTTCCGTATGTTTTAGGATTTTAATGGAGGCTTACTCTGTGGATTTAGCATTAGATGACTGGATGGGAATAATAAGAGTAAAACCAGCCCTGTGTGGGTAGTTTGGTTAGAGCATTGTCTAGATACGCCTGGATTGCAGGTTCAGTCCCCAGTCAGGGCACATACAGGAGTCCATGTTTTTCTCTTTCTTGCTCTTCTTTTTTTTTCCCTCTCTCCCTGTCCCCTTCCCTCTATCTCTTAAAAATCAATAAATAAATTTTTAAAAAAGGAGTGAAACTAAACGGGGGTTAAGTTGTTGAGTACTGTACTTGTTTTTTGTTTTAATTATTATGTATTGATTTTAAAGGTAGAAAGGAAGGGAAGGGAGAGAGAGAGAAAAACATCGATTTGTTATTCTACTTCTGCACTCACTGGTTGATTCTTTTTTTTTTTTTAATTTTATTTAGTTATTTTTCAAGTACAGTTTTTTGTCTATTTCTCCCATCCCAGCCCCCTTAGTTCTCATCCCTTTGTCCTTCATATTTGTTCCTCCAAATCCCTCCCCTTTTTCCCCCTTAAATTCCCTTCCCTCTCCCCTCTGGTCACTGTCCCCCTTTTCTCTATTTCAGTGTCTTTGTTTTTATTCTGCTTGCTTGTTTGTTTTGTTGTTTAGCTTCCTGTTAAAGGTGAGATCATATGGTACTTGTCTTTCAACCCCTGGCCTAACTGGTTGATTCTTGTGTGTGCTTTGACCAGGGCTCAGCCCACACAGCCTTGGAGTATGGAGGACAGTGCTCTAACCAGCTGAACTGCCCAGCCAGGGCTGTACTGGTTTGTTACCTTCCTAAAGAGTTAGTGAAGTGGTTAGAACAAAGAACTTGTGAGTAAAAAGCTTAAGGTTCTTATTCAAGGTTAACCATTGTCATGTTGTTGGTCTAAGGAAATAGCCTTCCATCATCAGTTTTCTCTTTGTAAAGGAAGAGTGAAAACAATGACTCTTTTTATTATGGGAAAATACTTACAAAAAGGGGCTGAAATATAACTCTTTGTACGGCCAAGAATATCATCTGCTGTTAGAGAGAAATTCTAAGTTTTAGTGTAATATGACTCAGATATCCCAAGTAGCTTGCTCATTTAAGGGTTTAAAATGTTTTTCCTTTGGTCTTCAGGATTTCCTTCTCCAGCTACTCTTTTGAGTTGTCACTAAGATCATTTGAGATACTCCTGGATAACAGCTGTCTTTGTTGGCTTAGTAACATGCAGCGGTGCCTCGGTACTCGTCGTAAATTTGTTCTGAGGAGCAGTGAGCAAGCCACGTTTGATGAAGCCTTTTCTCTTGCGGGTGGCATCAGGACACATGCAAGTTCTAGCAAGTGTGACAAGTGACAAGCAAGCACCAAGTGCTGAGACATTTTTTCCTTCAAAATGCAACAAGTACCAGATTTGACGAGTTCTGAAGCTGATGAGTACCGAGGTACCACCGTACTTGGAAACAGCTCTGATGTTACTTTTCCTACCCCAGGCCTTCTCTCCTCTGTGGAAATCATTTCTGATTCTCTTAGTTGTTCATATGGTTTAGTTCGCCAGCCCAGTTGCCACCAACTTGGATATCCCCTTCTGGATCTATTATATGTGGTCAGTGTTAATTATAAGAGGTCATATTCCAAATTATTCTCAGGAGTTGTCTGATCTGTAGCAATTTTCTTCTTTGTTCAAGTCACTATACTGTTATTTTATTACCTGAATTTAGATAAGCTTTTTTTAAGCTGACGATGTCCGCCGAAGGCTTGTATCTTGAGCTTATAGTCAACTAAACTCTCAACTAGTCTTAAAATTGATTTCTTACTGGTAGTATACTTTATTTTAGATAAATGCACTTACATTTATCCTTGATCGAGTTCATTTTGTATTTTCAGCCCATTGTTTCTGTTCAGATATTTTTGATAATACTATATCTTCCATGGCGTTATCTAATCTTCCCAGGTTTGTGTCACCAGAAAAATTTACAAGCTACTGTTTAAACCTTCAAGGCGTTGATAACATTTACTAAAGTAAGGCCAAATACAAAGCCCTGTGACAACATCAGAGCCTTCCATTCAGTTATTCAACCATTGGTTAATAATTGGAGGATGGTTCAGCCAGTTCTCACTCTGCCACCTAACTAGCATGAGAAATTTTACCTTGATTTCAACAAATTATATTTGACCCACTCTGTGTTATTTCTAGGTTAGCATTTCTTTCTTCTTTTTTTTTTTTAAAGATTTTATTTATTTATTTTTAGAGAGGGGAAGGGAGGGAGAAAGAGGGAGAGAAATGTCAGTGTGTGGTTGCCTCTTGCATGCCCGTACTGGGGACCTGGCCTGCAGATGCACGTGCCGATTGGGAAATCTAACCAGCAACCCTTTGGTTCGCAGTCCTGTGCTCAGTCCACCGAGCCACACCAACCAGGGCTTTTCTGTTTTCTTCTTATTGAACCCGTTTTGGCTTCTAGTGCTCTCTACAACCTTTCCCTACACTACCATAGGCTGACATATAATTTTGCTGCTAATCCTTGTTGAATGGTTAATCTGTAGTTTCTGGAATCAAGTTTCTTTTTATTGTTCGAAATTGAGAAAATTGAAATAGAATTTTCTTGTTTCTATTCTAGTCTTTGAGCTTCTCTTCTTTTTCTGTGAGACAGCATGGAGATCTCACTGTCTCAGGTTATAATTTATCTGGTGTTAGAAATTTGAACATACTAAAAAGCTCTGAAGCCTATTTTATGAGCTTTTCTCCTGTCTCAGGCTTTCCTCTTAACCTGTGTTCTGATCTTTCTAATCTGGAAAATTACTCTTGATAAAGAACATAGGCCCTGGCTGGTATGACTCAGTGAACTGAGCACTGGCCTTCGGACTAAAAGGTCACTGGTTCGATTCATGGTCAGGGCACATGCCTGGGATGCGGGCCAGGTCCCCAGCTGAGGGCATGAAAGAGGCAACTGATCAAAATTTCTCTCCCTCTCTTTCTCTACTTTCCCCTCTCTCTAAAAATAAATAAATAAATAAATAAATAAATAAAATCTTTAAAACAATAAAAGAACACTAATTATAAAAAAGGAAAATGGAAGCAAAATAAGCATGGAATAGGTTAGATTTTCTGTATTATCTTTTAACATGTTAGAAGGGAGTGTTGCATCTTTTTGTATCCACCTATGCTAGAAAAAGACGGAATGTTAGCACTTTTAATGAACTTACATTGATCTGCTATTATGTGTCAATCACTGCATTAGATTTCTAGGTTCCAAAGATGAATAAGACATGGTCTTTTCTCTCAAGGAAGTCACAGTATGGTTGGAAACATACATGTAACTTTTTGTAGTATAGCAAGATAAAGTCTGATAATAGAGGATGTTCAAAATCTTGCGTAGTGAGGAAGAAGAACCAATTGTATTTAATGGGGCAGGTTTATATGAGCCTCTACAGAGGAAGTTCTATTTAAGTAGATTTTTAAAGGAAGTGTAGACATTTTGGATGGATTGGGGTAGAAATGGAGGGGTAATATTCTTTCCTGTTCTATGTAGAACAGGATGTGCCAATGAATGGAAGATAAAAGCCAATATGGTTTATTGAGAAATTTTGAAGTAATCTAGTATGGTTGGAATATGAAATATAAAGATGAGTCCCAGGAAATGAGGCTGGAAATATAAGCAGGATCATACAGAAGAGGACTTTATACTGTGCTAGAATTTGTTTTTCTGTAGGTACATGAGTATCACTGAAGGGGATTAAGCAGGGGATGTGATCAATTCCAGGCCAGTTAAGAGTTTTTCCTTATGATATACTGTTTAAGTAAGACTCAGCTAGGTTATGTTGTGATAACAGACAGTCCCCCAATTTCAGTGGTTTATGGTAACAAGAGTTTATCTCATGCTTTATATCATGTGGCTTGTGTTCCAGGACCCAGGCTAGAGATGCAGCTTCTGAGACGTTTCCCTTGCAGTGGAGGGAAATGAGGTATGGCAGAACCACACCATTGCTGTGAAAACTTGTGTTGAGAAGTGGAATGTGTCCTTTGCTTACATTTCATGCCTAAAGCAAGTCACATTGCCAAGCCTCATGTCAGTTGGGCAGGAATGAATATTTTTGTCAGTTGGGCAGTGAATATTTTGAGTAATAAGAAATCTATTTACATATGTCAAATTTTATTTACTTTTTGGAATTACTCTGGATCTGCTGGTGGCCATGTTCTTAGTGACTCAAAGTAACTCAAATGAAGCTACAGTGTACAGAGAAATGAGAGACCAGAAAGTGTCCTGGCAGCTTTAGTCTCTGTACTCCCTTGTGCTGCCCTGGTTCCTGATACTTTCCTTTATGTCTGTGAGCTAATAGAAGAGTGCCATAATTGGATTTGCAATTTAGGTTATTTTGGATGAATGGGGAGAATGCATCAGATTAGAAGCAGAAAGACTGGCTTGTATCGATGCAGAAAGAATGGTCAGTCATCTGTTTCAGATATGGAAGCACAACCGCTGGAGGTCTGGCAGCGGTTTCTGAAAGATGTAGATTTTTTGTTTTTAGCTACTATAGAGGTAAGATCAGGTCCTGATTATTGTGGAGAGGAGTGACAGAGGAAAGAGAGTTATGACCATTTCAGACATTTGGTTGGATGGTGGTACCATTCATCAACACAGGAGGTAAAAATAGGTGGGGAGGGGATATCTGAATTTTGGACGTGTTGAATTTGAGGTGTCTGTGGAACATCTAAATGGAGGTGACTAGTAGACATACACTGGTATGGAGCTGTGCCATTAAGGGGCACATACGAGATCGTGGCCATTTAATTTGGAGGTTTGGATTCGCAGACAATAAAATCCCCAAGTCAAAGGTGAATAGCTGAGCACTTTATCAAGCAAGAGCAAAGCAAAAGCAAGAATCAAGATCATACATCACCAGATGGGAGTTCACTGACACCCAAACATAGATGCCGGCGAATTCCAGAGACAGCATTCGGGGTCCGACTGGGAAAGTCCTGAGCAAAGCCTCCTGCTCTCAGGTGAGATTCCAAAGTCTCACTTTGGGGGCTATAGTTAAGTTTTAGACAAAAGTGGCTGCGCAGCAAGGGCCTTGTGTGACTTAGCTAACCAACAGGTCCCTCTGGGAGAAGGGCCAGTTTTCCCTGAAGGAAAAGTTAAATATTAAAAGTACTAACCTCCTGGGAAGAAGGGCCAGTTCTCCCCTGGGAGACAGCATGCCTGTATTTCATTCTTACAATAAAGGTCACAGCTCGTGTATAAACAGGAAGGATTCTCAGTGTTCCTTTAAACTGTCAGGAGCTCAGGGGATAAGAGTGTTATTAAAATGACGAATCATGGAATGTAAGGGTAAGAAATCATGGGTAAGGAGGGAAAGAAATAAAGGGAATGGGCAGCAGGTAGAAGTAAAAGAATTAGTGAGCCAAAGTCAATGAGAGGTCATAGTAGGAATAATTAAACAAGCAAGCTAGGAAAAGAAATCAGAGAACAGAATACCCAAATTAGCTATTGTGGAGATGGAACAGTTTCTAGTGGTAATGGGACCTGGGTTGTGTGTGGCCTTGGGAGTGATTAGCGGAGGTAGAACGGAGGAGAACACCATTAGGAATAAGATGATCTTGAAGGACAATGCATGTGGGCCACCCATATGCAACAATTTCCAGTGTTGTGGAAATCCTGGTTGTCTGCACAATATCCAGTTTGTACGTCTTCCTTATTTACAGAACCGTGAGCAGTGTGCACTGGGAAAACTGCCTATGACAGTGGCCTCCAGTAACAGTGGTTCATATGGACATGGGTTTATTTTCTCACAAAATATGCTGTCTTTGTTCACATAAAATCATTTTATATCCTTTATAGCGTTTATTTATTACACTTGATATTTATTACATTTGAGTAAGATATACATGATTTATTAATATACGGGGTCAACTGTAACCCTTAGAATGTATGTATTGTATAATATTTGTAAAGAATACAGAGATAAGCATTGTAGGATTGGTATGATAGCTCCACAAAGATTAGGGACCCAGACTCCTCTGTCACTTTGCTCCATTCTTAGGGACGCTTTCATGGTTCAAGATGATTGCTGGAGCTCAAAGCATTATTTCTGAATTATAACCAGAAAGAGGGAGGAAGAGAAAAAGGCAAAAAAGGCTTTTCCAGAAGCCCTACCCAACAACTTCCACTTAACCTTTCATTTGGTAAACTCAGGTTAATGGTACAATTTAGGATGACTAGAATCTGAGAGAGAAGAATTTAGTAGACAGTAGTAACTAGGAGAGGAAGAGAGGAATAGTTGAATGACATGACCTTAAAGGGGCTGCTTTTTCCATGAGAGTGAAGAAATAGTGTTCTGGTAGAGTATGGTAAGTACGGAATTACTGAGGGGAGAGAATAATAGGTGATTTTAAAGAAAAGCAAGGAAGCTAGTGTGGCTGTAGAGTAAGAAAGAGAAAAGGAGTTGTAGGCCAGCAGGTCACAGGGAGACAGATCATATATGATTTTAATAATTATATTAAGAATTTTAGAGGGACTTCCGCCAAGATGGAGGTGTAGTTGGAAACACTGTGCCTTCTCACACAACCAGGTTTAAAGACAACAAAGTTTTAGCAACAAAAACGCAGCCAAAACACAGAAAATTGAACTGTACGGAAGTCCAACAACCCGAACCATTCAGCCAGACTGGTAAGAGGGGCGGAGCCAGCAGCAGAGCACCTCGGGCAAGAAAGATCCCACAACCCAGGTGCTCAGGCAGCCATGGGCGGATTCCAGATGTGGGGTGGCGACAGGGGGACCCAGTGAGGGCACAAAGTGGCAGCCTGAACGTGGTCACACATTCACGCGCAGATAAACCAGCGAAGGAGTGAGAAGGGAGACAGACCGGGCGGCCTCAGTGGCAGGAAGCAGCAGAGGGGACTACTATTGCCCCTCTCTGACCCCGCCCCTACATACAGCGTCACAGCCCAACAACCTGGGTGGTCCCGCCCTGGTGAACATCTAAGGCTCTGCCCCTCATATGTAACAGGTGCTAACAGACCAAAACATCATGGCTCAAGAAGAACTCAAAGCCTCGGAGCCGATAACTCTAAGTGACCAAGAGGTAGCCAATCTATCAGATGCACAGTTTAAAACACTGGTGATCAGGATGCTCACAGAACTGGTTGATTTTAGTCACGAATTAGAGGCTAATTCTAATTGAAATTCTAATTGAAATGAAGGCTAAACTAATTGAAATGAAGGAAAATGCATAGGAAACCAATAGTGATGGAAAGGAAACTGGGACTCAAATTAAGGGAGTAGACCAGAAGGAAGAAAAAAATGACCACACAGAAAAATATGAAGAAACAAGAATTCAAAAAAATGAGGAGAGGCTTAGGAACCTCCAGGACATCTTTAAACGTTCCAACATCCGAATTATAGGGGTACCAGAAGGGGAAGAGGAACCGCCACAAGTGGAAAATTTATTTGAATAAATAATAAAAGAGAACTTCCCCAACCTGGCAAAGGAAATAGACTCCCAGGAAGTCCAGGAAGCTCAGAGAGTCCCAAAGAGGTTGGACCCAAGGAGGAACACACCAAGACACATCATAATTACATTAGGCAAGATTAAAATGAAGGAGAGAATCCTAGAAGCAGCAAGAGCTAAGGGGACAGTCTCCTACAAAGGAGTTCCCATCAGACTGTCAGCAGATTTCTCAAAAGAGACCTTACAGGCAAGAAGGGGCTGGAAAGAAGTATTCCAAGTCATGAAATCCAAAGACCTACAACCAGGATCGCTCTATCCAGCAAAACTTTCATTTAGAATGGAAGGGCAGATAAAGTGCTTCTCAGATAAGATCAAATTCAAGGAGTTCATCATCACCAAGCCCATATTTTATGAAATGTTAAAGGGACTTATCTAAGAAAAAGAAGATAAAAACTATGACTAGTGAAAGGACAACAAACTCACAGTTATTAACAACCATACCTAAAACAAAAGCAAACTAAGAGGATAGCTAGATCACATAGAAATGAAGATCACATGGAAGGTTAGCAACAGGGGAATGGGAGGAAGAGAAAGGGGGAGAAGTTACAGAAAATAAATAGCATAGACAGTAGGTAGAAAATAGACGGGGGGCAAGAATAGTATGGGAAATATAGAATCTAAAGAACTTGAGACATGTGGTCATAAACTAAAGGGGGGAAATGGTGGGGGAGGGGGTGTGCAGAGTGGAGGGGAATGAAGGGGGGTAAATAGAACAACCGTAATGGCATAATTAATAAAATATATATTTAAAAAAAGAATTTTAGGCTTTGGCTTTTGCTCTGAATGAGGTAGGCAACCAATGGAAGTTTTTGAGCAGAGTGACATGATCTGACCTAAATTTTAATGAGATCATTCTGGCTTCAAGGTTGAGAGTAGACCAAGGAAGGTCAGGGGTGGTTGCCAGGGGACCAGTTAAAGAGTTATTGCAATAACTGGATGAGAGATGATGATAGTTTAGACCAGGAGATAGTAGTGAAGATGGGAGAAGTGTTTAGATTCTGCATATATTTTGAAAGTACAGCAAACAGGATATGCTAGTGAATTTAATTAATGTTTCAAAGAAAGAGAGGAGTTAAGGATGACTTCAAAGACTTTAGCCAGAACAAGGATGAGAGCAATAGGGAAAGTTGTCCAAAATGAGGATAATTATATTGGTATAGCAACCTACTGTAGGTGTAGGTATAGCAACCTTCTGTGGGCATTCCTTGTTTTTGTAGCTTTTTCTTGTCAGTGCACATTTAACTGGCTTTCAGTACATTCATTCACTATTTTGCTCTATAAACAAATGTCTGCTGAGCAATTACAAAGCATTCCAGCCTTTATCAGTTAGATTTCTTTGGTCGTAAATAGGCTTAAGAAAAAAAGGAACAAGATGGAGTGGGGGGGTGGGGGTTGGTGGTCTGTATCATAAGGACAATAGAGGTAACTCACAGAGTCTAAGAAAAAGCCAAAGAAGCATACCTTGGAAGAGCCCTGAGCTGAAGTGTCATCTCACAGAGCTCCAGACGGCACAATGGACAGAATGTTTTCATCCGGGTAACCCTATCTTGATAAATCACTCACATCATCGAGCATTTAATTTAATAATGATATCGAGCTAGATGCAGGGGTAGGAATGGTGGGGGAGGAGGCACATCCAAAGCTGATAAAATATAGTGGATACATTCCGAGGGTCAAAATAGAGTAGAATTAATAAATCATATAATAACCTGGCCTCAAAGTAAAGATCTCAAGGGTGCAACGGTAAATTTCTTGTTAAGACATCAGAAAGGTTTATGGCAGTGTTTCACAGAACCTTTCAGCTAGATAAAAAGGTTCCTAAAGGTCTTAAGGGAATACCTCTTAGACCCTTGCTATTAAATAATAGGGTTTCTCAGGGTATTAAGGGTATTTTCTTAGTGTAGCCTTACACGGAACTTAAGCTAGACAAGGTGGGGTGGGTATGGCTTGGTCTACTGGAGTAGATAAACCCTCAATTAGATTCATAGGAAATCTAGAAGTTTTGTTTTTTTTTTTAATTTTTATTTATTGCTTTTTTTTTTAGAGGAAGTGGGGAAAGAAGGGAAGGTGTGTGGGGAGAGAGAGAAGGAGAAAGACATTGATTTGATGTTCCACATATTTATACATTCATTGGTTGATTTGTATATGTGTCCTGACCAGGGATTGAATTTGCAACCTAGACATACCGAGATGATGCTCTAACCAACTGAGCTACCTGGCCAGGACCTAGAAGGTTTTTAATAAATTGTACTAACAGAAGCAGCTTTGGCTTGGATTATAAGGAACAGAAACAGTAAAAAGTGAAAATGGGCTTTCGGACTTCTAATCACCTACAGGCAGGAAGCAGGCTGAGAAGACAATCCATTACAAATGTGAACCATCTCTTAGGTAAAAGGAAGGATGGCTTGGAGGGTGGGGCCAAAGAGTTTTGGGGAATCACTCTCAGAGAGTGGGATTAGGCTATAGTCAAGGAACTGGTGACGGGTCTGATTAAATTTCAGAATTTTAATGGACTAGTAACTGCTATGTGTCTTCAGTTCCTTCTTCCTTTTCCTCCTATTTT